CAGGGCACATTTCCCAATACACAGGTTACTTTTATAGAGATTCTAAAATACAAATTTAAAAATTAAACAGTGTGGCCTCTCAAGCCCTCGAAGCAGCACTAACAGACCCTCTCTTTTAAAATTAGACTGAGTAAGTTTTATACTGTAAGTACACCGATGTTTCTGGAAAATCTCCCAACAACGGATGCACAACAAATGTTGACTGGTTCACAGTAGGTCCCCAGTGAACAGCCACTGGACAAATTATTCTCACTCTTCAATCAGAAATTCTGTCTGTGGACCAAAGATGTTTAAGAATCCCATATAACTCTATAAATGACATGCAAAATGTTGTGTACATATGTGCATTTGTGTATTTTCTGGAGAGATTCTCAAAAGGGTCCACAACACAAAAAAGTATGAGCCTCTGGGCTTTGCTAACAGGAGGAAGACTGAATAAGCAACCAAGGAACAGGCTCTTGGCCTGATTCCAGGACTAATATTCTAGGACATCATGAAGCCACATAGATCTCATATTTCTCACCTGTGGAAATATCTATGCTATTTCTCGTATTCCCTTATTCCACAAATAAAAATTTCCGTGAGGTATTACCAGTAGTTTACAATACCGCAAACATTGTATGCCAAGCGTGGTGTTCCAGAACTTAAGACAGTGCTTGGTATGTGCTAAAAGCTTAATAGGGGTTAAATGAATGAAAAAATAAACTCTCAAAGAGAATTTTGGTTTTTTTGCACCAGACCAACCTGCCAATCTGAGTACAAGTGAACCTGTTCAAAAAGATCACTTAATTCTCTGGACTTCAGTGTCCTCATCTGTCCTGCAGTAGCTGAGAGAAGAGGAATGTAATTAGCTCATCTGTTTCTATGACAACCAATTCCATAGCTATCCCACCTTTAATTACTTCGTCCAAAACCTATGCACTGCTATTAGCCACTCAGCTTCCAGGCAAACCTGAAACCAGACATCACCATGTTCACTCCTACTGCTACTCTTCCCCACACATCAAGACCAGGGCTCAGCAAACTTTCTGTAAAGGGCCACACACAAATATGTGCAGTTTTGCAGGCCATATGGTTTCCATCACCACTGCTCAACTCTGTAATTATGGGGCAAAAGAAGCCATAGATAATATTTAAATTAACAATCAGATGTGTTCCAATAAAACTTTACTCATGAACTGAAATTTGAATTTCGTATCATTTTCACATGTCACAAAACATTTTTATTTTTCCAACCATTTAAAAATGTAAAAAACAATTCTTGGCTCCAGCACTGTAATAAACAGGTGGCAGGTTGTATTTCCCTGGTGATCCAGACCTTTCCCTACTGCTGAGAAGCAGCACTGAGAGTTGAAAAGTACTTTCTGAGCAAAGCTTCTGCAGAATCAGCTGGTTGACTTCTCTCTCTTCTTCTTGCCCACAACTTTAACTTACAAATAATTTGAAATCAGAAGAACTGAGATAGCGAGGACTATAAAACTCACTTGTTAATATTTAATCACAGCAGTGCTGACTTATAAAAAATGTTTATATCTCTTTTAAAAATTACATTAAAGTCTTCTCATTATACAGAGAAAATTTCTCTATTAATTTTAACTGGCATGCAATTCTACTTCTTCCCTCTATCCTCTTGACCTCAAAATTTGTTGCCTGAATGAATAAAATGCAAATATTAGAAGTAATGACGACTGGTTTTCATCTATAAAAACTGATTTCTTTTAAAGTATTTAATATTAAAAAGATTAACAATATTGGATTTTAAAAGGCTGGCAAGAAACATATACTGTTGGTGGTTGTATAAATAATTAACAGTACAATCCTTCTGAAGGGAAAATGTTTGGCAAAATTTATAAAAAGTTAAAATGTATATAACTTTTTGACAACACTTATACTTCTAGAAATTTATCTTAAGAAGACAATCAGATAAGTCAACACATATTTATATACAGTGAGTTTTATACTTTGAAGAATTATTTATAATCATAAAAAGATTAAAGCAATTTAAATGTCCAACATAAGGCTTGGTTAAATAAATCATGAATGGCATACAATGAAATTCCGGATGGGCATAAGAAGTAATGATGTAAATAGGCCAGGGACAGTGGCTCACACCTGTAATCCCAGCACTTTGGAAAGCTGAGACAGGCAGGTCACTTGAGCTCATGGGCCCGTGAGTTCAAAACCAGGCTGGGCAACATGGTGAAACCCCAACTCCACCAAAAATACAAAAATTAGCGGGTGTGATACCACAGGCCTGTAGTCCCAGCTACTCTGGAGGCTGAGGCAGGAAGATCACTTGAGCCCGGGAGGTGGAGGGTGCAGTGAGCTGTGAACACGCACTGCATATCAGCCTGGGTGACAGAGCAAAACCCTGTCTCCAACCCTGTCTCAAAAAAAAAAAAAAAAAAAAAAAAAAAAGAAAGGAAAAATAACATAAAGAAGTAGTTGACATAGATATGTCCACAAGATACTGAAATAAAAAATCGCATTACAAACTGCATGTGTTGTTTGATCTCAATTGCATACATTTCTACATATGGGTTGTACATGTACCAGTGTGTGTGTGAGGCTGAAGAAAGAGAAGTAGCGAAGCAGGGAGTTAAAAGAACTTTCAAGAAGATGTTCATACAGTGGTTGCACCTGGATGGTAGGAGTTTCAATGATCTTTGTATTCTTGTATATATTTTTCTGTATTGTTTCTATTGTGTTGCAGTGAGCACATATTAATTTTAAATTGTAAAAGGCTTATTAGAACATATGACACCAAAAGTGACTGCTAATATAAACTATGGACTTTGGGTAATAATGATGTGTCAATGTAGGTTCCTGGGCTATGCCCCACTCTGCCACAGGATTTTGACAGTGGGGAAGGGAGGGCATGTGTCGGGGTAGCAGGTATATGGGAACTATCTGTACTTTCTGCTCAATTTTGTGATGAACCTAAAACTGCTCCAAATTCTAAGCGTAGTAAAAAATAAATAAATAAAAACTTACTAAATTAATTCTTATCCAAACAATTCGAAAGTTCTGTTAATTAGAAGCAATTTGAGTCCCATAAAAGTCAATCTGAAAGGCTTTTATCAGAGGTGGTTTTAAAACACAGCAGATTACTCAGCGCGGATGGGGAAGTCCAGAGAACCGAAACACCAAGTCCCGAGCACCAGCTAGCTAGCAGCTCCCCGTCAGAAACTGATCGAAGAACGCTCCCCTCTTGTGAGAATCTATTTTGTGCATTCACACTGAGGATATGCTACTGTTTCTCTCCTGTTATTTCTGATTTAACAAAACGTTTTCAGTGAAAGCTTAGAGGACTTAAGACTGGGTTAGATAATCAAGGGCTCAAGGAGAGCAATTTAACACTTTGTCTTAGATTAGCTTTAAAATGGAATTCTGGCTGGGGTCTAGGACCTGCTGCTAAAAGATAAGCTGGTCTTAAGGGCTTTGATGGAAGGACAAGCGCCAAGATGAGATTCTGATGACAAGCCGTTTCTGCTACACTACCACAAGGCATTCTGATGCAAGTCTGAGGATAATAAGAGCAGAGTTGGGATAAATTAATGGGAAACTACTAAGTCTTACCTTAGTTTTCATTTTCTTCTTTATAAGAAATATGTACATTACAATTTATACTTCCTTTGCCATATACATACTTACACATGTATGTCATATCTATTGACTTTTATTCTAACAGAGCAAAAGGCTTACAGGTTTCTGTATCAAATGTATACCTTTTAGTCAGAACTACCTGAATGAGATATTTTTAATTGCAGGAAGACAAAAGCCACCCTTGATAAGAACTAGGATTCTTATCAAAGATTTGCAAACTCTAGTAGTATAGTATATAAGAAGTATCTTATATTAACAATGGGATGTTAATAAGTTTACAGAAGAAATTAAGTTCCTAATAAGTCATGGTTCCAAATTTTCAACAATGATCAAGTCATACTATGTCTGAATCTCAATGCTTTTTAGGCTTTTATATGTTAATGTGTGAAAAACAGATGTGATTCAATTTCAGGCAGTCTGATAGGAATGCTTTTCCTCACCATCCAAAACTTTAGCTTGTTTTGAAAAGGAGTCACACCATGGAGCTCCTTGAAGAACTCAGGAAGCTTCCAGAGGGCACTGACCTGAACTAAATTCATCGTAAATGCTGAATTCCTATGCAATACCCCAGGGAAAAACAAAGGCAACAACGACAAATTTTATCTTCACAACTATCCTAGGAGATACTTTTTATCTCTCTTTTTTAAACTGAGAGTTTTCTAGCCTAGAGGTTATGTACCCTACTCAAAGTCACGAAGCTGGAGGTAGGATCTGAACTCAGGCAATGCAATGAAAACCTTAACTGCCTCCCTGGGAGGCAGGAGACGTGCAATTTAGTTCTGCATCTACAGGCCTCCCGAGTGGAGGCCCCATGGAGGAGAGCTCTGCTCTGTCTCCTGACTGCTTCTCCTCTCAAAGGAATGTGCAGATGCCCTGCTGTCTTCCAGGACTGCTGGGGGAACATGAAATTCATAGACGAAAAACTTCTGAAAAACTGCAAGCTCTATATATGTGCCATATGCTAAATATATCCAACTCTGAATATCCTAGCAACACAGAAATTACTTTCTAAAATATAGAGAAGAACCTAACAGTGCCTTCTTTGCAGCCACCCTAGAGTGTCTTTTCTGGGGTATATCTGGAAGCCTGTACAGTGACAAACCATCAAACAGGAAGTCAAGGTCTTAGTTGCAAAGCAAAACACCCTGGACGAGGCAATATAACACATGGATTTGACATTTATTGTTGAGGACAGCCAAGCAGTTTCAAAATACAAAAGCATATATAAATAGCAGTCTGTATCCAGGGAAACACATTTTCTCTTTAATAAAAATATTCTTGATTTTAAAGAACACATAAAATGATTGTTTTAATTTCAAAATATCAAATCCTGAGAGAACAGAATAATTATTTCATAAAACTCTGATAAATAAAGAATCAGCATTACTTCTTACCTCCCACATGTATACATTATTCTTAACCTGAGATCTTTTCTTCTTATCACCAACAAATGGCCCAAACTTTTTGCCTTTTAAAATTGGTTTAGTGGCCCAGACACCTAGAAAATAAAATCAGTATTTTTATACTGTATCATGGTTATTTTAAAGATTGAAACCATTAAAATCAATTAAGCTTCACAAAATAGTTAAAAGGCTAAACTGCCTAAATCAAGCTAATGTTAAATAGCCTGAGATCAAGTTAAATCACATTAAGTCGAGTGCTCAGAGGAGATTTTTATTTTTCTTCTTTATGCTCTTCTGTTCTATAAAGAGCTTAGATTGTTTTATAATTAGAAAAGAATGTTTTCTAGACTATTAAAATGTTTTACATGTAACACTACCCATACAGTAGGATCACAAATACTTGACTAACACAATCACAACAACTGAAGAGAAAAAAATACTGGAATGGAGTGAAGCTACAACTGATTTTTAAACTCCTCTGTCTGCTTGTCTATAAAGTTCAGATTGTCTCTAATGAACATGACTTGTTCTTATAAAGGGTTAGAAATAGAGTTTTATGAATAAATACTTTTGAAGTTCATTTGCTTAAAGTGGAAAACCCTTTCTTGCCTAACTAAACTTCCTGAAAACTTAGCTACTGGAATGGCTCACTTTTCAGAGTTTCCAGAAGCCAAAATAGCTGTTCATCGACAGTATTCTTAGGGTTGTTTCTATTTTCTATGCACTGACCATAACAGAAAGCGATATAATGAGCAAAGCGGTCTGTGAAATGGCAGGAGTCTGGCCCAGGAGTCCAGGGAACTGGCACACAGCATCCTTTTAGATCGCTTCCCTCATCTTTTGGCTTCAGTTTCCTCAGGTACAGAATGGCAGGTAAAGGCTGGGCCAGTCCTATCCTGCTAGAATGTACAAATTCCACTTTTCTGTAAGTCTGCTATTAACTGCATTTGACAACACCTCTGACAATCAATTAGTTGAGCTACAAAATCAACCACTTTAATTTGAACAATATACTCAAACTGCTCAATAAATAAGTTTCCAAAGAGAATTTTTTAAAGCATGTATTAAAATTTTTTCACACATATGTACATATAAATTGGAGTATCAGAAGTGTATCTTAAAAAAAGAAACAGGGATATAAATATGATATATTCTAAGACTGTATTTTGACAAAAGTTTTACAATTTACTTCCTTAGTTTTCTGTCTAAAGGTTAGGCCACAAAAAAACCAAACACACACAAGCTTGGTTTGCATTCAAGAAATCCCAGCCAGAATTTAGATACACTCACAGCACGTCATTCATTCAAGTATCTACTGAGAGTCCACAAAGTATTTGGAACTGGAGGCACAAAGATAAATAAGAAATAAAGGCACCCACAAGCAATGACAGGGACAGGTAGTATAAAAACAATTACAAAATAATGAAGTGAATATAATGGCACAATCACACTCCAGTCACAGTGAAATCAGAGAGACGGGAACAACACGTTCTGTGGGGCAAGGCCCAGCAGGAAGACTCAGAAGAGGAGGACACTTGGGCGAGTCATGAAGGATGGGGCATGTGGCGTGTGTGTGTGTGTGTGTGTGTGTGTGTGTGTGTGTGTGTGCGCGCGCGTGTGTGCGCTAGCACGCGCGCGCGCGCGTTTCTGGTTTTATTTTTACAATCCGTGTCCAAACTGGATTCTTGACTGGAAAATGCATCAACACCATATAATCTTCTAAGTCAAGGGTAAATCCGCTGCTTTTATGGTGTGCTCCCTACCTGACATGCCCTTGCAGGAAGCCTCACTGCCACCTGCTCTTTACTGCCTGACTTGTTCCGTGACAGGAGAAGCACTCACCAATCCGGGTCTTGTCAACAGCAGATGGGAAAAGCCTCACTTCCTCCGGAAGTCCTCGCAGCACATGTTCGGGTACCTCAGCCAGGGTCTCAGTGGCCACCGCAGGCTCCGTAGTGTTCTGCAAGTCAAGAAATAGAAGGATCACAGCAAAAGAAAGAAAACCCAAATTGTGGGGTTTTTTTTTTTCTGGTTCAATAAGCAAATATGCAAAAATGTAACCGAAACCTGAAGTTGGCAAGCCAGACCAAAACGACATGTCAAGCGTTTGAGGAGCTGCTTTCATGCTTGTTTGCAAGTGTCCAAAGGAAACCCCTGCAACCTTCAAGCATGTCTGTGTTACTCTATTTTGTTCCAGCCACCTGTGGCCATTTCCAAAATATAATCATCTCCGGCACCATACTGCTTTAAACTCAAACAGAATCTGGCAGCAAAATATAGCATAAGCTTACTTTTAAATCAAAGGCTACCATCAGTACCTTAACACGTTTAAAAAATAAAAACCAACACTGGCCACTTCAATGAATGCTTTCAGCATACACCACAAAGGCTACTGGGGCCCTCCAACCCTCCCCATTCATGCCGCCCTCCAGCAACAACCCCTAACTGGATGGAGCTTGAACATTCCACCCCAGAACACAACAACTTATTGTGGTCCCTCATTGTAAGTGTCGCCTTTTCCAGGAAACAGTAATTTACCACTGTTTACCAAGTCACTAAACAGCAAAGTCACCAGGATATCACAGAGTTGCTAAGAAATAGATAATTTTATAAAATTACTTATCAAAGTTTAGGCTGGAATTCATCATAATCTTAAGAAAAGATTACTACTAGGTAAGTATGTAAGGAAGGGAGAGATTTGAGCCAACTGGTAGAATATGACTGTTATTTGTTAAATAACTTTCAAATCAAAGGAACGCCAAGGGTCTAGTAACTGGTACATCATATATCCTACAGAGCTGATGCGCTTATCAAGTCTAACTGATGTGCATATCATGATACTGCTAAGAATGATGGGTTTTGTAGTCTGAGTGTGTTTCATTTCACTGCACAAAGAAACATTTCTCCCGGACTTTTAAAGGAACCAACATAGGCAAAAGTCAACCCCAAACAAAAAAAGATTAATTGTTCCCACAACAACGAAGCTCTTGTAGTCTCAAGAATATATGTACCAAGAAAAGAATATCATCCAAACTGGCATACTCTCAGCATTTCAATTTTTAGTTTATTAAATATCAGCAATCTACTTCAAGAGAAATAAATCTTACAGTCATTATAAACATGGTAATCTATTCTCTGGCCTGCTTCAAGTTGGAGAGCCCAAGAGAGGGCATCTAAAGACAGGTTCATCTCTCATGCAGAGCTGAGCCAACTGAGCCTATGTTTCAGACACACAAATGCTTTGTTCCTGCTTGATTTACACCTTTGTCCCAACAATATCCCTGAAACATTTTCCAAAACATAAGATAGTCATTTAGCCCCAGAAAATGGTCCTACAGTACCTTTAATTAGCTAAAGTGCGAATAAATTAAGCATAGGAATTTTTCACTTCTAAATATAGTGCCCCCATTTTTAAATTTTTAATCTATAAGCTGGATTTTTGGAAATATGAACAATTTATTTCCAAAGAGGGAAAAGGTATTACACGGGTAGTTGGCATCCTAAGCTACATAATAATTATTTCAAATCACTGATAAGTAAGTGACATTAACAAATATTTGCCAGAGTGAGGCTTCCTATCAGCACTGGCCATTTAGTAAAGCAAAAGGGGGTTTTCTTCCTCCGTCTCTGTTGGGGCCCTAGGTAAAGACTCAGCACCATTTATCCTCCCCAGGAGCACAGTTAGAGTCACCTCGTCTGCTAACCTAAACTGGTACTTCCAGGCACTTTTACAGTGATACTAATGACAACTTCATATTCACCGAGAACTTCCTTGCTCAAGGCACTGTGCTGTCTTACAGGCTGGGTAGAATTTACTCCAAATAGCCCAAAAGGGCTCTTTTCTTCCTTAGTTAGATATTATTAGTGTCTCCTCCTTGCCACACAGAGCAGGAAATTAGAGCTTAGGGATACTGCTTAAATGGCTCAAAGCCTGGATCTGACCCCTTATCTATGATTCAAGTGCCTAGTCAATACTAACATCACGGAGTTTTCACTTAAGATTCTGCTGGAATACCATCTAAGGACCTCTGCCCTAAAACTTCCATATTTCCATGGAAATGTCAGTAGGAGATGGCATCTAAGGCAGGAATGGTCATTCCCATAGGAAATGTGTAACTTGAGTACAAGTTGGAGACCACATGTATTAAAATTTCGGAAGCACCCGAGAACACAGAGGACCTCAGCAGAGATGCCATGGGAAAAAGAAATAAGAAAAAATGCTATCCATTTGTTTATCCGTTTTAAGTCAACTCATTATTTTTTATCTTTTTTTTCTTTTAAATTACTCTTTTAGTAATTTAGACCCATTAGTTTTTGTTTTGGGCTCATGCACCCAGTAGAGGAAAGTTTTTTCTGTTACTTTTGTATCCTTCACATTACAAAAGGACCCAGCTACAACAGTAGCAAATCAATTCACAGCAGCCCAACCCAGATGCTGGGCAGACCCAGGGCTCTCCCTCCCTTCTCCACAACCCTGCTGGACTCAACATGGCAATGGCTATGGCTGCAAACTGCCTGGAACATTTCTAGAAAGTCAGTTGTGTGAGAAGTAGAAGGTAGACTCATGGGCTGGACTGCCTAAATAGAACCACCCTCTTTTCTTCCTTAGTTCTCCTTCATAACTCTTACCACAATTGCAAATGCTTATTTGTATAGCTCTGTGTTTACTGTGTGCCTCCTCTGTGAGACTGCAGTGAAGACAGATGGTGTCTATCTTATTCAATGTTGTGTTCCCCGTGCTTAGCAGGAGATTTCAAATGTTTGTTGTCACTTAAATACTTGAATGAGTACATGGCTCTTTGTAAGCTAACTTAAAGCTTTTTTTTTTTTTTTAAGGTGGGGGAGGGATAGAAATAAATAAAAAAGCAGGGTCATCTATCAGAAAGTATTTTCTCCAAATGCATCTGAATTTCTTGAATTTGAGGTAGATATTCTTCTGGGCCAATATAAGAATCCTTTTTTAGAAAATGTGCTCCCAGCATTTTGGGAGGCCGAGGCGGGTGGATCACGAGGTCAAGAGATCGAGAACATCCTGGCCAACATGGTGAAACCCCGTCTTACTAAAAATACAAAAAAATTAGCTGGGTGTGGTGGTGCGCACCTGTAGTCCCAGCTACTTGGGAGGCTGAGGCAGGAGAATTGCTTGAATCCAGGAGGCGGAGGTTGCCGTGAGCCGTGGTCTCGCCACTGCCACTCCAGCCTGGCGCCTGGTGACAGCGTGAGACTCTGTCTCCAAAAAAAAAAAAAAAAATGTGCTATGCCATTAATTCCAAGCAATCAATGGACAAGTAAACCTTTGGAACAAAGGAATGTTTTCAAAAAATTATCTCCTCCACATACTCACAAGCTGCTATCTCTTCTTGGTACATACCCTGATAGGATTAGATGTAATATCACACTCTAAACAGGTTCATCTTGGTTCTTACACTAAAGAATCACAATATGATCCCGGAATTATTTCCCAGATTGATGTTGTCTAAAATAAATTGTACCATCTACTCAATTAATTTATTTAAATATTTCCGAATCCTGCTATGGGCCAGGCAATGTTCTAGGCAGCACATTTGCCTCAATAATGCATCACTCTGGTGAGAAACACAGACAAAATCCAACACATACATACAATGCCTGATGCCCTGTAGAAAACTCAAGCATAAAAAACGGGGTACATGCCTTCTGATCAATGGCGAATGAAAAAAAGAAGGGAACACAGTCATGGAATAGGGATGGAGATGCCTTTTCAGACAGAATGCTGAGGCCTCTCTAGAAGTAGAAATGGAATCTGTGACAATATCGGGGAAACATGCCAGGAAAAGAAAACAGCCAGGACAACATCTCAACTTAAGAGAAAATGCAGTATGCAGGCAAAAAGACCCATGTGTCCAGAGCAGAGACGATGAGAGAAGCAGCTAGAACTGAGCCAGGAGGGGCAGGCAGGGGTAAGGCCTCTCAGAAATACTCATTGCCATTAGCTCGTCTACCTGGAATGAGCGGAGTAGAGAGCAGAGAGCAGAACGCGAGCTCTGCAAGGCACCCCAGCTGCTGGCGTCTCCTAGCACGCCCTGTCCTTGCTGCCCCGGAATAGAGGCATGTTCCTATCTTAGGGGTTTTTAACAATGATCACTGTGATATGAAAGAAGCTAAAGGACTTCTCTGCTTTCCTATTAGTTAGACCTCAATGAGGATTCATTATTTGACTGCTTAATGAAGTACAGTCTTTAAACATGCATCAATGAACAGATCTGGAACAGTATGTATTAAATTTAATTTAACTGTAGTTAACTATTACTTGATCTCAATCCAATGTCTCCAACTTCCTACCTCAAACTCAAAGAAAGTCACTACTTGCTTCTCTTCCCCCAGGGAATCACCAAAGCCTGTCTCCTTCATTCAGCCCATCCATCAGTCATTAACAAACACTCCCTAAGTGTCTGCTCAGGGCTAGCACCACGCTGGGTGGTGAGGATCCCCAGGGACCCCCTCCTCATGAAGCCCACTGGCTAGAGGAAGAACTTCTCTGTTCCTGCTCCCTGAGACAAGAAACCTTAGAGAGATTTTTATTCACGAGTTTTGACTTGCTAGGGAGCCTCTGAAGGACCCTTCTACTGCTTTCCTGATACCTTTCCTCTGACCCAGGATGACCTTCCCATGCTGGACGGGGTGAGGAGCTTAGGGAGCATAACATTTATTCCATCTTCTGGGCCAAGATCTGTGCTAAGCACTTTACATGTATTACCTCATTTAATCCTCACAATAACAATCACAGCTAATACAGATGAAGCGTTTGGGTATGTCAGACACAATTCCAGGCACTTATCACCTCATTTAATCTGCACACTACCAGTTGCTACAGGTACTTTTATGATCTCCATGTTACAGATGAAAATAAACCTTGCCCATGGTCATAGTCAGCAGGTGGCAGAGAAAGGTAATTGCAATCCAGACAATCTGGCTTCAGGG